CTCGTCTTGCCGCGTGCTGCTTTTCTTCTTCCGCGCTCTTTGATATGTATCCACTCCGCCTCGCGGGAGCGATGAGCACCAACTTGTCGGACCTTTGGTGGGACAGACGCCGTTTATTAGCCTCTGCTTTCTGTGATGTGCCTCTCATCGCTCCGACACGTATAATTACGCTTTAAAGGGTCTCAGTGCTCCCGCTGCTCATTCGTTTTATCCCCTCTGAAGTGAGGACTGAAGCGAGCAGTGCGGTTCTCTGGGTCGAAAGCGTTCTGCTGCTAGCGGCCTCCCCGTCTTGGTGCTTCCAGCACCTCTGCTAGACTGAGACTGTCTCTGTAAACACGCCAGTCAGGATGCTTTAATTTGGAAAACAAACAAAATCTGTGAATCACGGCAAGCTAAAATCTGCTGAGGTCAGATTGTTTAAATGCTTTAAGTGCTTTTATCAGCAGTTTTGCATTAATATTTCATCTGTCCACCTTCCATGATCACTTATCATGGTGAGTCTGGAGCCTGTCTCAAGAGACACTCTGGATGGGATGCCAGTCCGTCGCAGGGCACACACACTCACACTAATATCTTATGGGCAATTTATAGCTATCAGTTTAGCTATCCTCATGTTTTTTCGATCGATCTCGACTGAGCACCATGTATGTTAGTAAAGTAATTACATCCCATAATATTGTGTAATAATCATCACCTTACATAAAGGCATTGATAGCATCAGTACTGATGAAATAAAGCTTCAAAAAAATCTACCAAATCTATTGTAAACCAGATTTTTGACGGTTGAGGGGGAAAATAATTTTCTCTTACACATTGCATGAAATTCTGGGAAGAATCCAATATTTTGAAAGCAGCAGTACTGGTCCATGATGCCGCATTTTGATGTGACGGGGCATTACGCAGAAATGTAAACAGTGACACGGGTCCTCGTCTGTGAATTGACACACTGATGTTACACGGACTGCTGTTTGGCCAACGACCAACGCAGGACAAGGTCACGCTGTTGGTGAATGCTGCTTTTGAAATGGCAGGGACCCCTTTGAAGGGCAAGAGCAAAGCCTCCTGGGAGGTTGTTTTACCTCGTCTTTATTCCCATTTTTTTTTGAGACTGTCAAAACCTGTTGCCTAGGAAGAGTGAGAAGGCAGGTGGGCCAGCTGTTCACCTTGGCCTGAAGTTACAGATGCGAGGACGTAGCCAGTGCACTGTCAAGCCTGTGTTTAGCGCCGGTTCAGTTAACATCGCCGCGCTCTGGCCGCCCAACACCGCCTTGGAGGTAACAAAGGCAGCCATGATCTGAGGCCTCCCCTTTAAGATGATCAGCTGGCAATTGCAGAATTTTATTGGGAGACATTAAAGGTAAAACCCACAGACTCTTTTTAAGTGCTTGTGTTGTACACATGCAATATGCATACATATATATTATATATAGAAACAGAAAATACTTGGCAGACGAAATGTTTATCTGGGTAGTAAGTGTATATTTTCTCAGGGGAAAAAAAAGCAATCTCACCGTAGAACATATGCAAATTAACAGTAATACAGAAAACTAACAAGAATTTCTTCTATTCTCCAAAGAGACTCTGATATCTTTCTGGATGGCTGGAATAAAACCACTTTGATCCCCAAACCTCTCCCCAGGAGCACTCTAGCCATTCCATATACTCATTGAATTTCACCACCAGCTCAATTAATTCATTCATTTAATTAATTAACTCAATGAGGTATTGATTAGGAAAAAACATGGCACGCTTGTGGTCGAGTCAAAATTTCCATGGGAGTATGGATGGCAGCTGCAAATCCTGGGGTGACATTAGAAGAGCTTTTGAAATGGCTGCGATATACTACAATAGTCTTACACCAACATGAAGATCATTCAAACAACCTTTTCTTTGACTGCCTAAGAATTTTGCATAATAATCCATACAAACATACACACAGATATATACACACATCTACATCTGTACCTGTTTGTGTGTGTGTGTGTGTGTGTGTGTGTGTGGTATACAGGAAAATGTACATTAAATGTATATGACATATGATACATACTGATAGCATAGCTCCATCACACTGTGTTCACTTTCACTGGCTGCCACTTGACTGTGATTGGCTGCCGTCAGGTTACCCTGGCCGTCCAATGGCTGCTCTGTCTCAGACCTGCTACAGTGGAGAGATCTGGGGAGGGGGGAGTATTAAGCAGGCAGGCCAGGGATGTGACAGACACACCATAGGTTCGCCTCACGAGTGCCTCGCGGCTACCTGGAGTCTGGCTCTTCGTCAGACTCACTTCGGTGCCGTTTTCAATGTTCAGCAGGGAAAGCAAGCGGGACCAAAACACTGCTTAGCTAAATGAGAGACACTCTGCTTCCTAAGTCTGGCACACCCACACATTTCTAAATTTCCTTTGCTAGTACAACAAGGAAGCATACACAGGCGGGGTCCACAAAACCTGCGGTCGCGTTAATCTTTAAAAACGTGTTGTGCTACGCTTGTATACCCATCTTCTGAATCACTCGATGGTATCATGCGTGGTATTGATGTTCTGCCATAAGCGTCACTTCTTTTATTGTGCATTAGTCATTTCATTTGTCAGTGCTATAATGTTATTTAATTTCCTGCGTGTTGAAACTGCGCTTCTTTTTTTTTCTTTTCTTTTTTTTTTGTCAAAAAGTCCAGCTAATCACCGCGCGGCCCGTCACCTGGCGGTTTGAGGAGCAGCACGGTATTTACATGCTTGTGTGCCTCTTATCCTCTGATGTGGGGCTTGAAAGGGGAATTCCCGCCAAAGCCCATTGTCACACTCTTCACGTGTTTATGAGCCCTTCCTACAGGAAACAGTTTTCCGCCTTTGAGGGATCTATCTATCTTCTGTAACTGCTAACATGATTATGGCTGAGATTTTCTGAAGCTTATCCTGGGTGGAGCAGAGCACCAGACTATGAGAAGCCAGTCTATCACGGAACACACACACACACACACACACACACACAATTAATTTACTCCTACCATTATGGGAACTCGCCATTCATTTCTACGGGCATAACCCTACTCCTAACTCAAATGATAATTCTTGCCCAGCTCTAACCTTAACCATAAGTAACCAAATAAAATACAAGACTTTTGGCTATTTTAGATTTTTGACTGAATTCACAGATTTTTATAAAATTAAGATTTATATTTTGGGAACCTGAAAAATGTTCACATTGTGGGGTCATCTGTTCCCTACAGTGTGGGAAGCACAACAACCCCCCCCCCCCAGACACACACACACATGGCATGGGAAGCTTAAGGTCACCAATCCACATGACCTGCATGACCTTTGGAATGTCAAAAAGCCACCTCAGGAGAAACCCACAGAAACACAAGACAGTCTCTTGCCAGGTGAGAATGGATAGCAGTACCCTCTGAACCACTGGCTAAAAATATTACTGAACAGGGAATGATTTATATGTGTCATGGAACTTTCTGGTTCTGCTGCAACTGAGGTGAGGACATCAATAAAACTGCTGCTTGACCAAGTGTATGATGTGAAGGTGAACAAATGCTATTCTTCACACCTCGGAACAATTCATTCTCAGATATTATCCTGCCCGGTTTATCTTTGGACACCATCTGAGTAGTTATGACATCTTTTATTTGGCCTTGGTCATTCTGTGGTGCCACTAAATGACTGAATTTGGCCTTAAAATCCCATTAAAAAGCACGATCAGGGTAACACAATCACAGCAATGTACTAAAGGTGTGCTTGAGAAAGTTAACTGACAGAGAATGGAATAACACTTGACTTGTTTGACACACCATGTAGAAAAACCTCACAGCGTTTTGTTCCTATTGTTGGAGCGGCTCTCTCTCCTGAGCCTCGCCTGAGCGATCCCTGGACCAACTCCGGCCAAAATCTTTGCTTTTCCTGGAGTGGAGAGTGTCTGATTATCCAAGCCGACCCAGTAGGTGCCAGGACATCAACAGGGGGACGTTCTGTTGTGGCCCAATAACTGTGCAAAGTGACTTGCGATTAAGGGACAGCGATCGTGCATCACAATTGCTGTGTGCTATGCATCAACAAACAGGAAATCACTGGCGCTACACTAGCGCTATGCCAATGGGACTCAGAACTCCGATTCAAATAAAGCAACTGCGTTTCAAACAAATCACTATTTCTCAGTTACGTTTACTATATAAATGTGTGAAATGTAGCATGATCAACTTCTAACACAGCTCATAGACCAGAAATTTTACAGTGAATACTTGTTTGATGAATAAATAGCAAAAGTCATCATCAGATTTTTTCATTGGAAGAAAACATCCTGAGGCATGGTTACATCTGAAAACTTAACTTGTTTTAACAGGACGCCATGAAGGACGCACTCGTACGCGCTCTGACAGCCCCGCCATTTGACCCTGATTTCTGAGCTTCGCAATGGTTTAGCCGTTAAATAAGGGCCAGGTCTGATCCTCTAAAGCTCAAGGGTAATTTTGTCCAACAATGGTGGAACACATCTGCTGGTTTTCACATCCCTGGTCATACTGGCACACTGCGCCCTCCGATCCGACAGAAATGGGATCATACTCACTACCTAACTCACTGGGCTTTATTTGATACTCTTAGCTGTGGCCTTTAAAGGCCAAAGAAAAAAAAACACTTGAGTCTTGGTCTTCCCTTCTGCAGCAGGGGTTATCATTACAGTCGTGTTGATGATTTAATTAATCTATAAAGGAGAATTTAATATGTGGACCTCGTTGAATCCCTGCCCACAAACGCTGGCGCTTCATAAATCATCGTAGCTGCACAGTTCCAAGAAGGTCACGCGCTCAGATCAAGCAGACAGCGGAAATGCAAATGTCTCTTGTTGTTCCCCTGGCACATAAGGAAAACAAATAAATATGGGCTGCTAGTTAACCTGTCATCACCATCTGAAATTACAACAAGAGGCCAGAAGACAGTTTTCAGTTGGCAGCCTCCCAGCAGGCTTTGATGTTACAAAGCTGTGTTGAAGGAAATGCCTGCTGAACAGTTCAGCAACATGTGTCATTTAGGATGTAGTCTCTTACTCTCCCCCATCCCTCAGCCTCACTCAGTCTCACAGTCAACCTCTC